GCAACCCCAATGAAAACCCAAAAAGGAAACACATTTTTTTAATTGCTGAAAAGTTTACATGGTTAGGGACAACCATGAGAAGCTTTCATGGTTAGGGACAACCATGAGAAGCTTTCACTTTTTGATAAAAGGTTTTCTTGAAAATAAAAATAAAATTAATAACAGCAACAACAACAATAATAATCTCCAGGCCACAAGATTTTGAACCTTAGCTTTTGTGACAATCATGACCTTGTACGGCAAAAGTTGTCAATTATTACTTTAAAAAAGAGTGACCAAGTGACTAACATGATTCTTATATCTAAAAGTTACTTCCTCTATGAGCGAGGCTATGCTACTCTATCCGGATCTATGGATCTCCCCAGCATCAAAGCGAGATTCCATCAAAATCTGTCACTCCTTGGGCAAGGCATTCTTTTCTATGAAGACCCCACAAGCTAAGTGAATGATTTACTTTAAAGAGTTCTACTATGCGTACTACCAAATTCTACTCCCTTTCTTATACTCCCTGAGGTGGCAAACTAGGATTGGTCATTTTCATCATATGAGTCCACAGAAAAATGTCTACATCAAGAACATGCGAGAGGGAGTAAAAGTAGGGAGTATAAAATGGGAGTACACCAAGTATTTTCCTACTTTAAAGTTCTCGCCTCCGACCCAACCAGGAGAAAACACATGGTCAAGCCTATTAACTTAACAACAACAAAACAAGCAACGGATATTCACTTAAAATAGAAAACAAATAGATTCTAAAATAAGTTCGATTCTTACCAACAGTTTTTGGGTCGAACCCGTCACAGAAGGTTTTTTCAATGCGATTCACTTATCCTGTGTGATTTTGAAGATTATTACACACGACTACACGAGTGAGATTTATTCATAAATATAGCAAAAATAGATATTGGGTGAGAGATTAAGCATAGATATTACTTTATGTAAAGAAGACAATAATAGCTTTTTAATTTCATGAATATTATTAGCTAAATTAAACTTGTATACTATGCTCTGGGCCAGATCCACCTTTCTGGATTTAGGCATACTTTCTTGTTCTTTCTAGTGTGGGCCAGATTTTAAGCGGGTATTTAGTTCGAATATTGAAATCATAATCAAAATCAAATATTTCATAGTAAAATTAAAGTAGATTTTAATAAAGGTAAAATGTGTTTGATAATAAACAAGAGCTAGAATCACTATCTTTATTCACCAAGTCTCACATGCAAGAGCGGTGGATCGCTTGAGGTTTAAATTATTAATAATAAAAAATGATCTCCACATCCTGGCTCCACAGAGTATATAAATCAATGTGATTCAATAGCTCAGCAGACATGATCAAATGTCGTGTGCACAAAGAATTTACTCACTTTAAACATAATCCACACTGCTGTTAGTGTAGTTCGAACCTTAGTCTTTTTTTCTAAATACTACTTACAGAACTAGTGAGTTAAACTCGTGCGGTGCGGGTTAAGATTTATAATTTTGATTGATACATTATGTGTATTGCATGCTTTTCAAAAAAAAAAAAAAAAAAAAAAAAAAGGAATTATGTGTATTGCATGAAAGCTGTATGTCTGGCCCTCCACCCAAAGGGTTAATACAACAACAGATGGAACAAACATTTGCCACCCACTTGGTACTGACATTCTTTCTTGTAAAAAGCTTACTATACTGACTTCCTTTTTCCAAGGTTAAATCTGCGTGACATTTTTTTTTTTAATTTTCTGTTTTATTTTTTTTTCTTTTTGGGTTTAATTTAAATAAATGATGCAGAAAATAAAAAAGAAATAAAAATAATATATGTTGTGCCGTGGAGACAAGGGTGACGAGGCAACCAAGAATGCTTGGCTTTAGCAAGACAGTGTCGATTGTCAACGCCCGTCCCGTCGTCCCTAATCCCCACCACCACCTTCCCCGGCCCCAACTCCTCCTCGGTAACCACCGTTGTTCCGCCGTCGATCTAGCTAGTGATCCAACATAATATATATAAAGCACCATACATCGAAATATATGTATAACTACATATATAGGATATGTTAGTGTATATATATATGTGTATAGAAGGTGTGCTAGTTTCAATATGGTCTTGCAAACTAGTTTTGCCTCCTCCTTGCATCGGAAAAATAATGATCCTATGCTGTTGACATAGGCAACTCAGTTGATCATAGGAATAAAGTTTGGGTTCAATAACTCGGATCGAGTCTCACCAGCGATAGTGTGGGAGCAATCTCTCAAAATGAAAAGACTCTTTGTGCACAATAAATAAATATCTAATTTCTATGTTCAGCTGAGTTACCATGATTTATATCCTCCCAACTCCGCAGAGTTGGGACGTGAAAACTTTTGAAGTTGGGGATTCAACCTTTTAGGAATAATAATGGTGGATGATTTTAGAGGATTAGAATTGTTGGGTAAAAAAAACAAAGGATCGTTGGTATTTTAAAAAGTAAATAATTAAGGTTGTGTCTAAGTGATTTCAACGTCACCAGTGTAGACTAATGTTATAGCATAATAGCATCACCCCTAAGATTTAAGCACTTTGGTCTTGAATAGTTGAATTACGTGTTTATATTGTTAAATTAGAATTATTGACAAATATAAAGGTCATGAGCTCGATTATTATCTATTATTTTCTTGGTTGAGCTTATCTACAGGGTATTTTTAGTATGATTTGTATCTCTTGTGTAGTTTAATTTGTCACTTGAGCGAGATTTACCCAGACTAGTACAGTAGCACACACCCTTAAATATTGTTTGTGATTTTTCTTTGTCACTCAAAAGAAAATAGAGTTACGTTATTGACCATATAAATATAAGGATGTCAATCTTAGCTCGAAATCAATGGGTCGACCCGAAGCCCATAAAGTTTACTAACAATTAAATTGATCAATTTCATTATGAAATTCTTTCAATTATTTTATCAGGGTGTAGAGAGCACTTAGCCTTGGAGATTCAACCCTTTGGGAGAAGAAGAGGAAAAAATTGCTAAACATAAACATATATATAGGAAGAGAATACAAGAATTTGTTATTAATGAGTGGGATTGCATAGAGACTTGGTAGTTGGGCAAGTGGGCCACGATGTGTTTCTTCATGCCACGTGGCATGTGCGACCGTTATCTGCGGTTAATTAGGGCATTGTTCAGTGTTCCTGGCAAGAGTGGCATTTATTGTGCAGGCCATGCAACAATGTCCTTCTGTACCCTTTCTTTCATCTTCCATGCATGATCTCCTATGGATGAGATCAGAGCTTGATGCATCTCCATTCTCCACCCCAGATTCTGGTTATTGGAGTGTCTTGTGTTCAACTAATTAATTAAATTTAATGTGAATTGATTCAAGTTCGTGGATATTATTTCAAATATTATTAAAGAAACATATGCTTTATTACAATGTCCCTACAAATCTAACAAAACTATTAATTTAGATTTATGACTTCGTTGAAATTTTAAACAGCGAATCAGATTTTAAATCGGTTACATACATAAGTATTGATGATTTGGGACATTATAAATTTGCAGGGAGTTGATAGTTTTTCTTACTATAGTGGGCGGGCAGTTACAAGGTAGTATCTATTCTGTACAGATTCAAATCTATAACCATTTATTTGAAATAGTAATCGAAATGCCATCACACTACATGATAGTTCACTTCTTTTATTTACTTTGTGAACCCTAAAAAAAATCATTTTGAGTTTGAGTTGCTGGAATGGTTTAACAAAAGTATCAACTCTTAGACCTCCTACCATACTTTGTCCAAATCTCATCAAATAATGAATCAGATATCAAATCAACTACATAGATATTGACACCTTGTTTAATTATTATAAATTATCAGTTTTGGAAGTGGAAAAAGATTGCATAATATAATGTTATATGACCATAGAAGAGTGTGCATAATGTTGTATTTCAAGGAATTTTAAACCCTTTTCTAATACTTTATTACTTGACCATATATATATTCTGCTAACAATCCAGCTAGAATGCACATACAATGTGCTCGTATATATAGGGGACACAGAGTTAATATATATATAGTTGAACATTTTAATTTGTCAACCTATAATAAAGGGTTGTCCCTTTATGGCTTTTGGCTTATTATATATAATAACATTTGGTAAGATTATCAAGGTAAAATTGTGGGCAAAAGTTGTGATTTAAATCACTAGAAGCCATATATATGAATGCATTTGTCCATCTAATCCAATGTAGCTTTAGCCTAATCATCTAACACAAAGACATGGAAAGAGGTACATACTCCACCTCGGAAGATGCAAAACCAGACAGGCTCTTGCTTTCTTGCTTCTCTTGTTCTCTTGCTCCCACCTCTTTATACAAATTATTATAAAATAATATCTCAGCACGAGTTTAACTCAATAGTTTAGTAGACAGTATTTAGGAGAAAAGATCAAAGTTCGAATCTTGATAGCCCTGGTGTAGGGGTTATGACCAAAGTGGACAGGTTGCTGATATAAAATGTATAGGTAGTAGTGAATGTACAATTTTATTTACTGTTTTTTTTTTATTATATACTTTTATAGTTGTTAGTGTCTCGTTTCGCTAACAGAATGTTGAAATGACCTTCTAAGCCGCAACCCCACTCAATTACTTCAAATCGTTACAATTTCAGCCCTTTTGCTAACAATTTGAAGAAACTTCATTAGGACGACCGGTAAATTATTTTTGTCACCACATAATTTTAATAAACCCATGATGTTTTAGTGTGTAACAAATATCTTTCTCTATCCCAATAGGCTTTAATTTCTTCCAACCGGTTAGTAGAACGATCGAAATTGCAACGATTTGATCATGCATAATAGTTAGGTATTAAAACCACCAAATGTTAATCTCAAAATATCAAAATCCCACTTTTCCCTAATACGGAGTATATAATACAAAAGAAACAATTTTTTTTTTTGAATTTGCATCCCCCCCCCCCCCCCCCCCCCCTAAACACCCACCTTTCTTCCTTGATATATATACGTAGTGGGAGGCTGCAAGTGTTTCTTCTTCTCTTTCCCTGATGGGGTTTTAATATGTGTATGTATTTGGGTCCCCATTGGTAGATATGTGAAAGAGACAAATAATAGGCCACCCATATCTTCATTCCTCTCTTCACACTCCCATCACCCATACATCTGCATGTTCTGCAGTTGAAACAGTTGAATCCTTCCAAAATCTGCATTTATTGCTCATTTTTTCCCCCTCCCACAATTAAGTATAAATTCTGCCATTGCCAATTGCCAGATCTTGAATCCCTCCAAGAAATCAATAATCTTTCAGCTTCTGCAATAACCCTAGCTAGTATAATGTCCATCATTTCCCATCTTCTTGTAGTTGTTTTCCTGTCATTCCTTTTCTGCCATGGCTCAAGTGCTAGGTGTTTTGGCCTCATCAACAATCAACTTCCAAAGAGATTGCATCTTCTCAGCAAGGTTAGTTTGTTCAGATACTAGTACTAGATTCTTAATTAGTTTTGTTTCTATTTATTTTGCATATGCATTTTGGCCCCGCGAAATATTTTTTTTTTTTTTTTAAAAAGGGTTAGATTTTGGCCCCAAAAGGTAGTTGAATGGGTGAAATATAAATTTGGAGCAAATTCAGTCAAGTTGGTATGACATGCAGTTAATTTTGCGATTACAAAATTTCAAATTTGACTCTTAATAGGAGCTGTGTATTGGCTTTCTTGGTTTAAGTCAATTAATATAGGTTGGTTTACCTGTCAACTAAATTTCAAATTTAATTCTTAATAGGAGCTGTGTATTGGCTTTCTTGGTTTAACTCTTAATACCTACCAACTAGGGTCACAAGACGAACTTCACTCAAAATCTACCTTCAAATAGTAGATGCAGACTTTTGTTGACAAAAAGGTCACAAGTTTAATTCTTTTCAAAGTCATCTTGGTCGATCAGGTCTGCTGCACATATCTTTCTAGTACAATTTACCCTTTTAGTTTGCTTGGAACGGGATTTAGGGTTTCCTCCTCACCCAAAAATGTTGGGTTTTTATTTTTTATTTTTTATTTTTTTTATTGTGGTAGTCAACAAGATCTAATTTCGATTAATGTTAGAGGTAAAACCCTAAGCTAATTAACAAGATCTAATTTCGATTAATGTTCGAGGTAAAACCCTAAGCTAATTAACTGTTGGTCTTGTGGATTTTGTGATGTTTGCAACAGACCATGACAGAAGAGAAGCTGAAACATTATAGGGCTTCCACTTCATCAGTGCCGGAAGAAGAATCCATTAAAATCAGCGATAAGAAACATGAGGAAAAAGCAAGAAAAGAAGCCCATCATCATCATGATCATGAGAAGAAGAAGAAGATGGGTAATAAAAATGGCGAAAAAGATGGTGCAGTTTCTTCTTCTGTGACATGGAAGGTTAGAGAGAAGAAGAGGGGAGAACCACAGGCAGAGTTCAATTTGGATTATTTACCGGCAAGAACACACCCTCCTGTCCACAACTGAGAGTGATGATGAGATCATGCGAGCATATATGTCGGTCTTATGTAATGCTGGTAATTAATGTCTTTAATTACGTAATTAGGATTTAACACTGATGATCAACGAGGAAATTACCTAGTACCACTGGGTCGGCCTGGATCTTCCTAGCTAGCAGTACTATATATATATATGCATGAAACCCTAATATATATATACCTAATCATTATGAATATATAAATGATATATATATATCATGTCGATTCTGATCATTTTATTAATGATATGGTATGCAATATATGTGATGACTCTTTTCATCTTGGATCAGTATCGTAGAACAATATATACTCCTTTGTTTTTATACATTTAATGAGAAATAAGAGAGTTTGATATTTGAATTTAAAGACTCTATTATTATTTATTTCAATTTTATTCTTTGTTTTTATTTTATTAATATTAGATCACATCGACTATATTGCAAAATTGTTCATATAATTAAAATATTTGGGACCAAAATTGATCTAGAATATCCATTTGTGTGTTTGTGTGAAATTTATACTAATTAGTTTCTGTTTGCTTTGCTTTATTAATTATGAGTATATATGCCAATGACCTTGTAATTTAGTGGCACAAAGTGGCTCTTTAAATAGGAGGTCGACATCTATTACATTGTAATAGAGTCAGTAATCGTACTCAAAAAAAAAAAAAATTATGAGAGTATATATGACAAAGATAATGTTGTTAATATAATTTTTTTATTCATTAAACAGGTACTAATCAAATTATTAACAGAAAAACCTAGCTCTTTGTTATCTTGCTGATGTTTTGCGTGTGTGTGTGTGTATATATATATATATATATATATATATATATATATATATATATATATATATATATATATATATATATATATATATATATATATTTATTTATTTATTTAGTACACACGGCTGGAAAACTCACGATTTTTAACCCTAGCTGATGTAAAGAAAAAGAACTCAACCAAGAAGGTGTTGTCAATAGTTAAACTCGTGATTTTTAAATACAAAAATTATGTTCTACTCACTTAGTCACTCTGTCGGGGTAAAAAGAATAACATACATTAAACTTCTAATTTAATTATTAGCTTAGTGAAATCTTAAATTATAGACTTTTAATTCGAACAAATTAAATTTAGTTTGTTGAATGATTTTTACAAAATGAACATAATTAGTCATTCAATATTCACATAATAAACAAGTGTAGTATTTTCTCAAGAGTTTCTTAAAGAGGTTAAGGCCGGAAAAATGATAATTCTCAATTTCTCATCCCTAAATTATATTTATATATAAAAACAAAAAAAAAAATAATAACACTTCTAATTTCGTTCTTCAATTGTCTACATTTTTTTTTTTTAAATTTTTTGTCAATGACTCAATTGCTTGTGAAGTGCTTCTTTAACCCAACATTATTAGAACTTAGAAATGAAAATAACAACTAACTTCCCAGGCCATATAATTGATGGACAAAAAGTGGCGACAAATATAATTAAAGGACAAAAACTATTTTTTCTTTATAGTTCATGGACAAAAAATCATTATTTTTTCCCGAAATGGGTAGGTGCGTGGATTGAGCATGATTTTTGTTTCAAAGGATCACGAGTTTAATTTTTGTCAACACCCTCTCATCAGTCGAGCCCGTCACTCAATGTCTCCCTAGCTAATGCAATTTACCTCTCTTGTGTGATTTGAGTGTGTTATTGCACAAAAATAATGTTTACCCATTGTATATTATCGAGCAGTGGTTGTGAATTTCCCTCTGAATCATAATTTTTTGCAAAATCAATATTGTCGGTTGTGTAAAAGTCAAGAAATTAAATGTGGACATCCTTACTCTCCTAACCCTTACTATGAATTCATTGACGGGTCAACTTTTAATATGTTTGGGATGCATTGAATTTGTGATCATAGTTTGACAATCATATACAAAACAGTCATAGATATTGTTGATCTTAGCAATGTATGTATATGTCTGTCGTCTGAGACGTGCGACATTATTTATGATGCGTCATAGGTTGCTTTCACTATATTATGGTGGCTGGTTGTGTCATAAATGGAGACGATGCAGAGGTTGTTACGCTTCAATTTATTGCACCCCGGCCAGGATTTAGTTCATGTATTTTACCACCGCCATTCCTCCATCTTTAGCGTAGTAGAAGTTGCCGATAGATTCCAGGCCCACTTGACAATGTATATTATGTAGACCCGAAAATACTACATTTACTCCCACACACAAAATCTTGATGTAGACACTTGTATGGGGACCCACATGAAAAAACAGCCTAATCTTGATGTAGACACTTGTATGGGGACCCACATGAAAAAACAGCCTATCAACGTAACGCCTACCACATCAGGGAATATGATTTAGGAGTTTATGTAGTAGAACTCTATGTAGACCTCACCTTGCGACCCTAGTCGGCAAATGACCAAAATGGGGTAATGAAAAACTAGCCTAATTAGATTGTCGGACTGGTTTTAACTAAAAAGGCCAATATGCTGCTTTCATTGAGAGTCGAACTTATAACCTTATAACTAATTACCAACCTAATAACCCGGTCAACTTAGTTAGGATTACTTTGCTGGTTAGGCTCACAAAACGAATTTAACATAGAACGCACTTTAATTTTCACACCTAGCATGCAAACAACCTTGGTCTTATCTAGACTTTTATGCACACACAAAGATACAAAAATTATCAAAATTAATATCGCGTGACACCATAATTTAAGAAATATAAAAGGAAAGTTGTTGGAATTTGCATAAAAGAGAGTGTGAACATATGCAACATTAAAAGAAAATAAAAAGTGAATAATTAATCATTTCAATGACTTAATAACTGGTTTCCAATCAATAATAATTATGTATCCAATAACATACTAACATCAACTATATATGAGCTCTGGTTTTGATTTGGATATATATGATTGTGTTGCATGATTGTATAGTTGGATGTGATGGACACTAACAAGATCCATACATTTAGGATGTACATTGTTGTAGTGTTTTTATTCAATGTTACTTGAGTACTTGGATAATATGATTGTGACAAATGATAACATTTTCTTATATTAGTGGACAAGCTAGCCATTTGTATGGTGCTACTAACTTATGTCATGTCATCCCTTATTAGTCCTGCGACGATGCATGCATGATTCTTGCAAGTCCAACAATGAATGATTATTTAGTGCTGGACCCCCATTGGATTATATTGCTAAGTCATAGGCAAAACATAATGAATTCCACGTTTGAATCTTTTTATTTAGATAAACGTTGAGTGTATGTCGTCGGTCATGTTTTTTCTCATATGTTCACTATTGGAAATTATGGAATTTCCGACCACCTGAAAGTGATCTTAAATCAAGTCAAAAGTCTTGTTCCGACCACTTTTGGTATCCGGAAAAATCTTTGTTATTATTTCCAACCCCTTTTTACTTTCGACTTGATTTAAGATCACTTTCAGGTGGTCAGAAATTCAATAATTTCCAGTAGTGATTATTGAAAGATGACAAGTGTTGGAGCGTAGTTTCATATGTTATTGGAAGATGATTCGTGTTAGAGTGTATTGAATGAAGCGTACATTGCAACAAAACAAAGCAGAAGGAAGCGACAACACCTATCTTCGTGGTTCGAACTTGAATTGGGTTCGCTAAGTGGGTCGGGAGTGTAAGGGCGACAGCTCCCGGCCCCCAAGTTACAATACTAGGGTAATTTTGTAAACGTACATTTAGGGTTGTGTTATGCGTCATGTACGTAGGCTCTCGATTGAACCACATAAACTCATTTTCTTTAATTTCGTTTTCTCTTCTTGATCTCTTGATCCCCTTTTTTGTAACACTAGTAAGACGCCAAGAAGATCCGAAGCAACTACTTTTTTATAACCTTGCAAGGTAGACCTTAGTCTGAACATTGTGAATATAATACAGGATCATCACAAATTATGAATTTTTAAAAAACAAATTCTGAACATTTAGTATATAAATGGTGTATCTTTACATTCGGGTCCACCTTGCAAGTTGGACCCGAGTCCACAGAATAATTTGCCCAATCAAAAAGATTGGGCCGTTTGCTGAAGTTTTACACTTCTTCATTGGATTTTCGTTAGATTAATTTGGGCTTAGGCCTGATTTCCTTAACATTTCATTCAAATAACCCGGCCCATTTAAGGTACCAGATGTAGTTTAAGTAAACTCCCGCCAAATTGACATTAGGGATTTCAATTTCATAGCTCTTCTTCAACTCTACTCTCAGGGGAGACCATTTTCAGAGAGATAGTGAGGGAGAGAGAGGAAAAAATGGACGTGAAAGAAGCAGGGACTTCGCTGGATTCACTCATCTCCGCCTTCAATGCTCGCATCGCCGAGCTTCAGCAGCTCGTCATCGCTCGAAACAGTTCAGTACTCCCAATTCCCAAAACAATTCCTTTTTTGTGCAAAAAGCTTTCTTTTCAGGTTTCGTAATCTTAGGATTTTCTTATCATTATGCGGAATTTTTGCAGTGTATCCTGCGAGTAGTGTCTCCGATTTATCTGCCGTCGACTCAGCACTAAGCGGAATGGAGCTCCAGCTTCAGAAGATCCGAACCCGGTTGCGTGAAGAAACTGAAGCCATTCCCAAAGCTAAAGTATTCATCTGCTTTCCTTTTGTTCTGTGTATATTTCTTGCGCTAAATTGACCTTTCAACTTTAATTTACTAATCTGGACTTGCGTGATTTTGTTCATAAATATAGGAAGTTTAAAATTCATGGTATTAGAAGTGCCTTTTTAGGTGTGAATTGTAAAATAATTATGTTAAGATACTAGCTTGCTAAGGGGTTTGAACTTAAAAAAAAAAAACTGAGATTGTGTGCTTATTATCACTTCAGAAGTTGATAGAGGCATCACTGCAACAACAGAAGAAGCTGCAAACACTTGCAGCTAATATGCCATTGAATTTGTCTGGAAGAATGACTTACACTACACAAGATACAATTAAGTGGTAATTCAGCTTTCCACTTGGATACACGTTTGTACAAATTTATTTGGATTGAATGAAAGTTCATGCCGGTCTAATTTGTTTGTGTTTTTACTCATACCTAGTGTCCAACCTGAACCTTGTAAAGGTGACTTGAGTTTTGAGTCTCTGAAAGTTGAGGAGCCTGCACCCAGAGTAAGTACCCCTTGATTTTCTAACTACATGTACACGGTGATATTTCTCTTCTTAATCCACCAGAAGAAAAACAAAACTTGGAATTGTTTTGGGGTACCAAGTGGGAGTAATTCCTTCATCTGTTATCATATTTTAGGAGAAAAAGGGCCGTGCCTCGCCACCTCTGTGGTACCTAAGTGCTGATGATCTGAATTCCTGTCCAGCGTAAGTATATTCTGTTTCTTCCGATGCAAAGCCAGTGGATAAACCTATGATTTCTGTCAGTGCTTATTATATGTTATGTTAGTTTCCTAGATTTAAGATGACTGAAATCTAGGTACATGAGAGGGAGGCTCACTCTTGATAAGGTCAATGCAGCAATTAATGACATGGCGATGTATGCTGAAGCAAATTCCCAGCTCATAACAGCCCCTAGAAAGAAGGTGTCGGTCTTTATGATTGCAATCTTAACACAATCTAACAAAGAAACAAAAATGCATGCTGATTATTAAATTTGTGTATGCAGTTGACAGAGAATATCATCGAGAGAGCAATGGTAAGTCAACTCAATCTTGCCTGTAAAAGTTGATAAATTTCAAATATTATCTACAATGGTAAATAGCTTTCTAATGGTTCCATCAGATCCTGATTGCTAGACCCCTATTAACATGATCAAACTGTCTATCACTGTAGCACAAGTATAACATCAGTAACTCCAATGGAAAAATTGGTTCCATCGAATTCCTGTTTTAATTGAATGTTCATCTTATTCTCCCTTCCCTTCTGGTTACTTCATTACTTTGGGAACCTGATTGTATTTGATTTAATTCCTTGAAATTAAAATTCCTCATGTATTGCAGGAACTAAGAGAGATTGCAGCAACAGAAGCAGTTAAGGGGAAACATTTCTTTCTTGAGTCTGACATTAAAGGCCCTTCACTGAAGCTCGACAATACAGGAAAAGCAATATTGACTGTGAGTGCTTTACTTTGACACACTTTCATGGGATTAGGTTGTCTATCAATTACCACACAAGTGACCCTACAACTACATTGCTACCTATTTTTCTATTTGCAGGTCCTTAGACACACTGGTCGTATTGGTGAAACTCGAATTTCCCATCACCGCGTATTCCTTCTTGTAAGGCCTCAATAAAGTTGCTAAAACTATGCTTCTGTGGACAGTACTTGGCATGATGATATACATCTTGAACAGTCACTTGTGTAATGATACAAGTTCCAGCTAGTGCAACTTGATGTAATGGAACCCTTGACAAAAAGAATGGTATGTAGTTTCCAGTATAAAGAATTTCATAGAAATGAAAATGAAACTACACTAAGTTAAAGAGTTCTGAGTTAGACTTTCTCTCGAGTAAAAGTCAAACTTGCAGGTTATGTTTAAGAGTTATGAGTCAAACTTTCTTCTGAGTAAGAGTTATACTTGCGGGTATGACCAGAGCTGAACTCGAATACGACTCAATGTTAGGTTATGCTCGAGTAGATTGAAATGGCTCAAGAGTAGAGCAAAAGGTTATAGTAAAGTTGAATATTTGAACCAAGACCTTTGGTATATGTCGTGTAAAGATAATGTTGAAGATTTGATCCTAGACATCTGGTATATGTCGTCTTCAAAATTGGATAAAAATGGACAAAACAACATGAGTACGCAAAGGCATAAAGCTCGTGATATAATTATCACTTTTTATTGTGGTGTTTTTTTTTTTTTTTTTTTTTTTGCTTTTTTAATGTTGTTGATGTTGAATGTTGAATGTACTAATGCAATTTAATACACACACAATTTTGGGTATGTATTTTTGTTACTTTATTATTTATTATTTTATAAAATAAGCACTAAAATTTTATAACTTGATTAATTTAGATTCAACTTAAGCAATACTCATAAAGTCTGACTCATTTTATAACATGGTGCATCCTTAACAAGAGTTAAATCTCTGATTTTAAATTACATTATCTTCGTTCCAAAGATATGATGATGTCCATTGCTCCCTCTAATCTTAGAAAAACTTTAGATGTTGTCACGTGAACGAATTTTATTTGGTAAAGAAAACTTAATGAATAGAAACGATGTCCAACATAACATGACATCTTAGCATAAAGTAAAAAATAGAGTAGAAAGTAAAAATACACTTTGACTTTTTTTGGTAACATAATTAGCTTATTAGTCACGACAGCACCCGCCATCTAGGCGCGTAATTATTTTTTATTTCTTACTTTTTCTTGCCAAAAAAATTTCTTTTTTACTTTCTCATTTTTTTCTCTTCTCTTCTCCTCTCTCCTGCTTGATACCCAAAAAAATTACAAAATTTTTAGTCATGTTTTCATCGCCGGTAGAGGTAAGTGTTTACGTGTTTTTAACATGTTACAAATAAAATTATTTTAAAAAAAAAAAACAGGAAATGGCGGCTACATGGATCTAGTCAACGTTCTTTTCATGAATATAAAAAGTGAGCAAACTTGTCTTCATAAGAATTCCGACACATATCTTTTACCGGACCACTACGCTATCACTGGACTTGACAATGGCGGAGACTCTGAACGTGGCGGTGATCGGAGCCGGCGTGGCGGGGCTATCGGCGGCCCGACAACTCAAGAGGAACGGTCATCGCGTTGTCGTCTACGAGAAATCCGACCGCCTAGGCGGGATATGGGTTTACGATCCCCGCGTCGAGTCCGATCCATTGGGCCGTGATCCGAACCGGGAAGTGATTCACGCCAGCCTCTACAAATCTCTCCGGACCAATCTGCCCGTACATTTAATGGGATTTTCCGACTACCCATTCCGCGTCACCAACAACGGCCACCTCTCCAACTTTCCCGGCCACGCCGAGGTGCTTAAGTTCCTCACCGAGTTCGCCGCCGAGTTTGAACTCGCTGAGCTCATCCGGTTCAACACAGAGGTTATTCGAGTTGAGCAGGTTGACGGAAGCAGGAATGGGGAGAAGTGGGTCGTTGAGTCAAGAAGAACGAGTCAACTGAGTTCAGAGGAAGAAGTGTTTGATGCTGTTGTGGTTTGTATTGGCCATTATACTCAACCTAGATTAGCAGAGTTTCCAGGTATCTTCTCTCTAAGAGTTTTTTTTTTTTATATAGTTTTTTCCAATTTTGGTACCTTCCTGACAATAATACCCTTCTCAAATTATGTCATGACTATTTATCAAAAAATTTAATTTTGGTACATGACTATTTGAAAGCAATTGTTATATCGTGAACGAGAAAATTTCAATTTTGGTCATATGACTATATGGGTTTTGTTAATTTCAGCACGACTTTTAAAAGTGTCAATTTAGTATCTTGACTATGTAATTTTTATCAATTTTGGTCACTCCGATCAAATTACCGGTCAAATTTCGTCGGAAGATTTTAATAGGTAAAATAATGAGGGTATTTTAGTAATTTCACATCTCTTCAATCATTTTCTCCGACTAAGCTTCTTCCCGGCGACAACCACTCCACCGCCGCCGCCCAAAATCCCATCTTTGAGCGCAGTTTACAGTTAAAATAATGAGAGTATTTTGAGGTGTGCTGCTGCGACGGATTCGCCGGAAAAGATGAATTCGTTGGAGAAGAAGGAAGAGATGTGAAATGACAAAAATACCCTCATTATTTTAATCTTAAAATTTTTCGGCGAAATTTGACCGGAGTGACCAAAATTGATAAAAATTGCATAGTCAAGGTACTAAATTGACACTTTTGAAAATCAGGTGCTGAAATTAACAAAGCCCTTATAGTCATATGACCAAAATTGAAATTTTCTCTATCATGGACAGGATCACACAGAATTCATGTTCATAATGTACAGAATTCATACCCTTAAATTGAAAATTTTGATAGTCCGGACCAAATTTGAGAGGGGTATTATTGTCAAATTACCAAAAGTGTAAAAAATTTCTTCTTTTTTTTTTTTTTTTTTAATATAAAGATGGTTTTGTAAATTCTTTGAAAAGGTTGTATTTTGATCATTGGCTGCCATTTATGTGGAATAGTATACTGGATAATGAAATTAGTTAAGTAACTGATACTGTTTCAACTTCTGGATATCTGCAAGGCATTGAAAAATGGCCTGGGAAACAAATTCATAGTCACAACTACAGAGATTCAGAGCCATACAAGAATCTTGTAAGCTGTTTAGGTTGCTGTTCTTGTTTATTCCAAAATGGATACACAAATTAATTATGTTCTTGTTTCTTCTTTTTTGGGGTTAAAATTATGTGGTTGTTATGCACACAGGTTGTGGTTTTGATTGGACATTCAGCTAGTGCCCATGATATCTCCAGAGAGATAGCCCTTGTAGCAAAAGAAGTTCATCTTTCATCAAGATCTAAGGATGTTAAACTGTCCAAAGTTGATGGTTATCAAAACATGTGGCAGCATTCTAAGGCATTCATCATTCACCCTTAGTTTTGTTTTGTGTTATGTTGTTTTTTGTTTCTATTTTAAGGAAGTTGGGGATGATTAGGCATAGCAACAATTTTGTTTTGTTTTATGTTTTTTTTTTTTTTGGTGACATTGGCAAAGGGCTATAAGAAGTAAATCAGTTTAGGCTGTCCATAGTTGATCAGCTCAAACCAAGAATACCCTTAGGCCGCTTACACTAGGAGTTGAACTTGTAACTTAATGGTTACCAAGACTGTTAAACCAACCTAGGTTGAGGGACTGACAAAGGACTACGAGAGGTAAACCAGCCTAGGATAGGTTGCCATAGCTAACCGGCTCAAATCAAGAAGGTCCATAAGTCGCTCCCACTAGGAGTCAAACTTGTGCTTTATGGTTACCAGTTAAACCAACCTAGATTGCTATAGCTAACCGGCTCAAAACAAAAAGATCCTTAAACCGCTCCCACTAGGAGTTGAACTTGTAAGTTGTAACGTTATGGTTGACTATTAAATTAAACTAGCTTAAATAGTTAGATTGTCCGATCAGTTCAAACCAAGAACACTCATAGGCCGCTCCCACTAGTCAATAGTCTGACCAACTTGGCTGGGTTCCTTTATTTTTTCTTTCTTTTTTAAGGAAGTTAGGGATGATATGATTAGGCATAGCAATTAGCAACAGTTTGTTTGATTCTTAAAGGCATTGTTTCCAGTCATTTGCAAGGTTTTGAGTTTTTATGCTCCAACATGCTTGCAGAAACTGCATCTCTTACTCTCTTTTGGGTACTTATAGATTGACCATGTTGATGAAACTGGGGAAGTGGTTTTTGAAGATGGAGAGTCCATTCATGCAGATGCCATTCTTCATTGTACAGGGTATATATGGTTCCAAATCAATGCATATTTACTCCTTTATGTTTTTCTTTTCAGCTATATACCGGAATTATGGTCTTTGCCTCTTTGAAAACACGATTGAATGGTTGAACGTTTTCCAGGTTCAAATATGAATTCCCTTTCCTGAACACAAATGGGGTTGTAAATGTAGATGACAACCGCGTTGGACCGTTGTACAAGCATGTCTTTCCTCCCGAGCTTGCGCCTAGGCTCTCGTTTATTGGAATACCTTACCGGGTATCATCTTCTTCTTCTGCAGCCAAAATAGTTTTTTTTTTTTTTTTTTTCTTGACAGGATTAAGAGTTTGTCTTGATTGGCAGGTTATCGTGTTTCGAATGCTGGAGTTGCAAGCTAAATGGATAGCTCAAGTTCTGTCTGGCAATGCCCTTCTTCCTTCAAGGGAGGAGATGTTGGCTGATGTTGAAGCACATTATAGGCAAATGGAGGAGAATGGAATCCCCAAGCACCACACTCATTGGCTTTATAACTATGAGGTTCTTGAAAATTCATTCTCTCTATTTACTTTTTTTGGTGTAAGTGCTAAGATTGTGGGGCAATGGAGGTAACGCTAACCACTTTGGTCAGACTGTTCGCTTCAAACCACAAGGTTTCAAGTTCGACTCCGAGTGACTGGTTTACCTCCTTATGGTCTTTTGCCAACTAGAGTCATAATGTGTGCACACACTCGGGTAGTACCCTAAGTTTCCCCCACACCACTGCTCGACAGAGCACTTGGGAGGATGTAAATCACGGTGGCTCAATGGCTCAATAGTTAGGGTCAAATACCGGTGCACACAAGGGATCTGTCCACTTTGGGCATAATCCCCACACTGTGACTGTCGAAGTTCGAACATTGGTCTCTTCTCCCAAATACTGCCTACTGAACCAGTGAGCTAAGCTCGTGCGGGCAGAATATGTACAACCCTGCTATTACACCAGGATGGATTGTAGATTGACAAGTTATTTTGTTTTGCAGATGGAGTACCTGGACTTCCTTGCAGCCCAAGCTGGAGTGCCACCAGTTGATCCTGAGCTGAAACAGATGTTTTACAACCTTTTCAAGTTTGCCTATAAACATGGATTTAGTTCTGCATCAAGGGATCTGTGGGATGAAAATTGGAGACCAGAAGAATAAATAGCCTTATGTATAGACACTTAACTTGGTCATATATGTGCCTTCATAAGCGATTCACGATATCTATTATAGAGTCATACATAAACGATTCACAATATTTGTTGTAAAGACTCTTACACCTACAATTACAAGCCTGCGCCTACTATAAGATTACAAATTTACCATTACAACAGTAATTTACCCATCTACTATCCTGTCAGACCGATGGTGTTGTGAGAAAATTTCATCTTCTATGGGACAAGATTACAATTACAAGGTTCATAGCAATATATATATATATATATATATATATATATATATATATATATATATATATATATATATATAACCATTATGGCATCATCTTGATCAATATTCATCTTCCCATGTGATCTGAAAAGTGAAAACCACAAATTTATTCTGTGTTTGACATCTTTGGCAAAATCATATGTATAAGTTTCCAAGAATGTGTCTATCCTAGTAAAAGAAGAAAAATGTTCTGTGTCAGACAAATACATAATGTCTAAAGACCCAACATTTTAACACCAACACAAAATATACTAAACAACAAATGGCTTGAGATTGATTCACAATTCTGTCGAAAATCGCCTCACCCCACAATCCTGTCAAATAGCGTCTAACGCTTCCTGATGAAGTACCCGAGCAGAATACCTAGTAGCCCAACGAGCACCACAAACAACACCGAGAAGCCGCCTGCTTTGCTTTTGTTGAGTTCTTTTCTTACTGCCTCCTGCAAAATGGAAATATTGGAAGGCGGGGTTATCTTTTAGCAGAAAAGATCTTCACGAACAAGTTTAGATGAGAATCTGGTCAGAGTAACAATACTAACACGAGAAAAAAAAAAAAAAAAAAAAAACTAGGATATTTTATAGCATACCAGTTCCTGACGTAGCTTCTGATTCTGTTGAACCGCAGAACCTTTCTCCTCTGTCAGCCTTGAAATCAAAGACCAAGCCTGACGAAGAAAGATGTTATTCGTTGTTAATGAATCGCAACAAAGGCAAAACATGAGATAAAATAGTTAGCTTATCAGCCAATTTTGGCTTATTTGACCACTATTAGCTGTTTGGCTTGGTTAAAAAATCGATATAAGTGTTTGGTTAATTAGCTTTTTGTAGCTTCAAAATGCTAAAATTCATAAAGCTGCTCAAAGCAACTTTTTCAATTAGCTTTTTGAGAAAAGAAATTATACCAAACAACTATCAGCTAACAGCTAATGTTATCACTTATCAAGTAGTCATACCCTCTAACCCAATCAGTTAACAGTTATTGGTTAACAACCGTTTACCAAACAGGGCCAATAGGATTAACAAATGATCACTAATATACGGAAATGAATCTAGCCTGTCATTGAACTAGTAGGAAAATGATAGTAATGAAGGATATATAACAAGCCCACCAGAGCTGCCACATCACACAAGCACCCCGGGTTTCACCGCTCCAATTCATCTTGTAAGCTAAATAGGTAGATCAGCTAAACTCACAGAGACGGTGTATAACTAAGTTTTTTGTAATTTAAATAACCGGAGCCCATCTTTTGCAAATGAAATATGAAAAAACGAGGAATGGGTTAACAAAGCCCCAAAGGTAGAACACAGAGTGACAGTTTTTCGTGATGACAGGCAACTAGAATGCTTATGATGAAAGGCACAACATAGACATCTGATAAGTGTTTCATGAAGATATCTCTACGACAACTTGAAATAATAAAATACGAGAGAGTTCTCAACAATCTTTAGCAATTATTATGACAAGCATGAATATTCAGATAATATATACAAGTTCTGATGTGGATGGGTAAAAAATTATTCACCTCAGAAGATGCTAATTTTTCTTTGGGCTCCTCCAAAGACCTTGATACCTGATAATAGTAAGAAATATCGACAAATTTAACACCAAAACTAAGATAAAGGTATACACACACACACACACACACACACGTATATATATACACCACACTTACAGCCTGTGACAACGAAGAAACTTTAGTTTCATTCTCATTCAAAGCTCTTGGAGGAGAACCCTCTTCAGATTCTTCCGGTACTGGTGAGGGAGGATTGGCGGGAACATAAACAACCCTCAATTTAAGTTCATTGATAACTTTCCCAGCCTCCATATTAAACTAAAAACAAATTAACAGGAGAAGTGAGTCCATAAACTATCATGAAAACAAAAATAAAAATAAGAATAAAAGACGATTAAAGTACAGAATTCAGTTGATGATCAAACAAACCCACCAATTCCGGTGACAAGTCCTTAGACGTTGAACCATCCGGTGCAATAGTGCTCTGAATTAGGAACTTATCCTTGGGTTGCATATCAGGAGGAGCCTCCCTCGGTGCCTGCATTGTAACTACGAATTCCATACACAAAAGTATCAATACAATTAGGCAAACTATCAAAACTACGAAAATTTCAACAACAACAATAATAATAAGCTACAAGTTTTACCAATAACATTGCAGGTGGAGTTGGGCAATACAACACCAGCATTAGGGCGAACACAATACTTCTTCGGGTTAGTCGTTTTAACCTTTTTCCACACAAGAAACCAATCACTCATACAAATATACAACAACTAAGATTAACCATCCCAAATATCAAAATATCAAACCGATTCGAATCAACAAACAAGAATTACCTTGAAGGCAATATACCTATCAGTCTTGTTGGTCAGTTGCAAGGAGCATGTACTCTGCTTCCTCAACTCAACTTTTTCAGCATAAAACACAGACAAATAAGCATCACTATTCATTCAATAAGGGAATCAATGCTTCAAGCTCAGAAAGTCAAAGCTGTGTTAATCAATTAAAGTAAAGTAACTAAATAATGAAAAAAAAAAAAAAAAAAAAAACAAATTGAAATCCTGGCGAACCCAATTCACTGCTCGATTAAACTAAGAAATCTTGTATGGATAAACGAAATAAAAATCAGAACTTTATGAACTTACATTGGAATTTCAGTTCTGCGGGATAAATATTCAGATAATCCCCCATGCCCATTAGCTCCAAAGCTTTGAATAACTGGGTTTACGAGTATACAGGTGCGGGATTGCAAATTTGGATGGAAATTGAGAAAAAAAATGAAGAGCTAGGGTTTCTACTCTGGTTGTTGAATAATGGGAATATATAAAAACACCATTTGAAGAAGACGACTGAAATGAAACTCTTATTTGACTATATAAATATATATTTTACTTAATTAAGTAAATTACACCAATTTCCCCTCTAAATTTCTCGTAATTATCGATTCCTCCCTCTTGGAGGGTAAAAATGGGAAAGGGATTGAGTAGCAGAAATCTGCAGAGCAATCATGTGTGCCAAGAAAGGCTGAGTTGGCTTATGGCTGTCTAGAATCCCAAATGAGATACCAACCCAATATTAAGATTAATGTTGTATTTAATAACTATCATTATATTTTCAATTATATCACAAATGTTTTAAAAATTTGTCTTATATTGTTGCTTTCAAATTAAATGATGTTGAGTGGTTTAACAAGGGTGTTAAGAAATGTCACTATTGATGGTGTGGTGAAGTTTTCATATGACAAGTTTGACAATTGCTTGATGCTAATTAAGTTATTAATGTAAGTTATCTACTTATGTATAGGTTTCTAGAAGTGTACATTAAATATGTCTTGAAAATTACTGTATAAAATTAGTTGTATATCGACTAAATAAATGTAATTGAGCGTCTAATTAAAAAAAATTATATAATCTTTTTAAATTGACAAATAAATACAATTAAATCTAAATGTTATCTATTTAGGATGTTCTCAAATTGTATTAGCTAAGGTAAATTTAATAATAGACATTTAATTTGTTAACATTCTAGATTTCCTTCTCCTTTCAAAAGCCTATCTGAAAGAGAATCTAGCATTTCTTTGTTGCAAATAATTGTTGTTCAAAATTTATTGTTTAAGATGTTCATACCATATATACTAATATGCATAGTGTTTTGTGGTAACATGTTATGTTTTGATACTTATATGGATCATAGTGTATACATTTTTAGAAAAACTATCGGCCATTTCTATATACTCCGTATTAATTATCTGTCCAAAATCATGACTGTCTGAAAAAGATGGACCCGGTTGTCTTAAAAAAATAGTTGTGTTTTAAACAACCATGATTATTTTGTGTTCATATTTGGATATTTTGAGACGAAGGCAACCAATCGTCTTCTTTCCGGAGGGAGTCAAACAAGACGTTTATTTTATTTAAAAAGAAAGTTGATCTCTTTATATAGAGGTAATAAAACACCTTTGTTATTTGAGTTGTTACTACTTGGTATTATACTCGGGCAAAACTTTTTCCATTACACTCAAATTTCAAGTGCATCAAACTAGAGATGACTATATCTATATTCCAATACACAAAATCGAGTTGACAAAACCAAAACTCGGTCAATCTGTCATATATATATATATATATATACATTGATTAATTAAGTTTGTTAATATATAATTGATAGGTAATGTGATCTGATAGATATGTTCTTATGTAGTTGCATACGTATGTGAGCAAATAAATCACATAACCCTTTTTAGTGTTTTCTCTCACTTTTACTGAATACTCTCTAAATGTCCTATGAAAAATTAATTTAGGATGATAGGACGGACCGACGGACTCGTGGTCCTTCTTTTTTTTTCTTTTTTTTTAAATAAACAACTTCATTAAACTTAAGGACTAATGTCCAAAACGATTACATCAAAAAGAAAAGAAGGGGCCAAGGATAGCCAAGCCCTACAATCAGTCGTGAATATGGCTTCTCGAGCTACTAAGTGGGCCGCCATATTTGCGAATCGTTTAACAAAGGAAAAGTTAATATTACAAAAATCATTAGCTAATTTACGAATGTCTTGAAAACTAAATCAAAGAATGAGTCAAGGGCAACAATGTTTAGTCTTTTGGATAACTAAGAGTGCATCATATTCAATCTACATAGCATCATATCTCATCTCCTTTAGCCATTTGAGTGCCTCACGAATACAAATTGACTCGTGGGCCTTAAATAATCACATTTTATCAATATAGGAGTTGCATGTTCCTAAGTTACCTATGTTGATCAAAATTTATTATCAAGTCAAAATGTCCTCACCAAATAATAAATACAAAATGTTACAACATATATGATAGTTTTGTTAGGA